AGAAGCCTTCTATTAGACATCCCGGTAGAGGTTATCATTATATCGCCGACAAGTTCCCTGAGGAGACAAAATGGGAAATGGAGATGGAACTAATTCCAAAGATCTTGATAGATCAGGAGCCTACACACACGAACACATTTGCCGTGAAACGCAAAACCCTAGAAACGAATGAACAATTAGTCCTGCAGGTGGACAAAGGAGCTACAGTGATAATGGACAGAAAACAATATACTGAGATGGAAGAAATTCTATGAGATAGGACTACATATCATATACTAAACAAGGACATAACTATAAAGATCAATGGAATCTTAATTGCCATGCTCAAAGATTAGCATAGGAATGGGGAAAGTGACGAATGGACAAGAAATTAAATCATAAGAAAGGATGCACGACCATCAACAGCCCACGGATTACCAAAGATACACAAAGAAGGCGAGCCACTAAAGCTGAGTCGACAACAAGTATGGAGCAACACACACATTAGCAAACTTTATATGTTTGAAACTTAAGAAATTAAATGAGAGGCTATCAAACATGGTGAAACATTTATATGAATTTTCTCAAAAATCAAAAACATGGCACTGGAAGAAACATACTTATTGATAGGTTTCGCTATTTAATCCATGCATAAAAATATATCTTGAGAAAATGACGTTGTCAGTGATTGATGTCTGTTTCGAATAGACCAGTACAAGTTTGAGGGCCTGGCAGTCAGGGAGCTCGACAGACGGATAAACAAACCATCACGGAAATTCGGCATTATGGCCCAAATTTACTAGAAATACAGTTGAGCTGCCACATGCACTAGAGAAAGTCATCCACAGTTTGTTCACATAACATGGGTTTAAGCAAGAGGACTCGTGAAAGGAAGGCCTGATATTTGCAAGCATGGCAATCAGAGCTTAGGCGCTCTGCTCAGTGAAGCGACAGTGTACGTGTTTATAGTGCCTTGAGAAATAGCGCCTGAAGTGAAATGCAGACTGGGACTGGAACCGAGTGAAATCGGTCAACCAGAAAGATAAGGAACGGATATACGAGACAATTAAGGGATCCGGATTGGAGGCCCAAGTCGGATCACGTGATCGAAAGACAGGGATCGGGGTGAATAGCAAGTGCGATGAGGCCACATTAGATTTGCCACAAAAAGGTACATATTTTGACGAGTGGGATTAGAGGGTAAATAAT